ATCCCCGCCCATCGATGACAGAGTGGCCGTGGGTGACGCCGTTGACCTCAGTGAGGGCCGGGAGGTTGATGGGGTGGGATGGGGCGACAGCAACTTGAAAAGGCTCAGAGTTGGTGATGTTCAGCTGGTTCATCTCGTGTCGTCCGCTGTGTGGAATCACCACGGACTCGAAGGTCAACGACTTGAGCGATCCCTCTGCCATCGTGGTCCCCGGCCCCTCCTTCACGCGCGCCGCTCGCCGTCCCTGCACATGCCCCTCCACTAGCCCGATCACGGTCCCACGGCACCATCGAGGTGAGAAATAGTTGCCGCCAGCAGGAAGGCCCTCCGCTCCATCAGGTGTTCGTGGGTAGCGATGGATGAGACACTTGAGGTTGATCATCTGTTTGCCGAGCTCGTACGCCGTCTGCGACGTCATCCGCTGCCAGAAGGTTCTCTCTTGTGTGCTGCGGCAGTCGATGACAAGCTCGGTGTGGTATTGAAGGACTGCCCCGCTGAGTGGGGAGGGCAGGGGCGGCTTTAGGCACCACACGGGATTGACGAACGCAAAGACGCCAACGTGAAGCTCTCGAGGCTGCACACAGGGCGGAAGGGAAACGACACTGTGTAGGGCGAGTGATGCCTTTGTCTGTCGATGGATGCTTACCAAAGCAATGGCGGACCACCCTTGCATCCGAATGGCCTGCAGGAATCCGATGGATAAGAAAGTGAGGAAACAAAGCTTGAGGCATCTGTGCAGTTTGCGTGTGTTTTCATGGATGAAGATGCTCGTCATACCTCAAAGACAGCGGCGGTTCCTCTACATGTATTGTCAGTCGGGCTGCCAGCGGCATCGTTGCCGCCAACGACAGGCGAAGGCGCGTCACCATCACTACTTGGTCCACCAGCGATATCGATATCTGCAAGAGAAACCGCTGCAGGAGGAGACGCCGAAAGCATTATGGGAAGTGACGCATACCTTCCTGATCCTGGGCCATCGGCAACTATTCACCTGGCCTCTCGCGCCCCCGTGTAACTCAGCCCATGGAACTCATGGCACCCATCGGCCGCTCTGCCTGCATGGCCGATCTGCCCATCGGCTTGTCCCTTCGACGCCATGCCACTCCTCCGCACGGTGGCGTGTCCAGGTGGCGTGTCCAGGTGGTAGCGGCGCCCACGCACTGTGGCGCCAAGATGCCCGCCTGTGATGCTCATACAGGTGAGAAGGCAGCCCAGGCAGGTCCCCCTAGCTTCGTCATCCCGCTTCTCTTGCCTGGTGTATGTGTGTCTGCAGCAGCCTCGCCCATCCCGCCCGTAAGATCTGACGATGCCGCACCAGCAGCACCTTAGAGAGCCGTTCCCCGTGACCCTCTCACGCGGCGGAGCGCCCGCCTTTGCCCTCTCGGCCACCAAAGAGTTGGCCTTCGGCCTCCACTATGGTTCCCTCTCACCTGACGCAGCAGCCCAGCTGCTGACGCAAGAGACGGCCGACCCCAACGGGCGGTATCGCAAGAACCCCTGTGACGGCTACATTTCCCCGCTGTCCCTGCTGCATCTGGCTGCTGAGACGTGCGTCGGAGAGGATGGTGCCGCGATGCTGGACTGTCTCCTCGACGCTGGAGCGGAGGTGAACTATGACACCTCTGTGTACGCCCCATTTTGTACCGGCAAGACACCACTGGACTTGGTGCTAGACCGCCTGGGTTGTGCCGACCCCCGTCTGCTGTCGGCCCTCCTGCCCATGATCGGGACCCTCCTGAGGCACGCCGCCAGGTGCTACTATGGTGGTTCGCTGCGGTCGCTCTTCGCCAGTTCCGCCATGGAAGAGGTCTCGGCCACGGAGTGCCTGGAGATCGTCACTCGGCTGACCACTGCCGCAGCAGCAGCACCCTCACCACCCAGCCTCTACGGATACTCGACTCTCTACGAGGCGTGTAAGTGCCGCTTCCGAGTGGACAAAGAAGAGCAGCCGGATGAGCAGCAGCGGCACCAGCAGGGGGATGCGGCGCACGATGGCCAGACGGACGCCCACATCGCCATTCTCGAGAAACTAGTAGAGGGGATGGGACGGGAGGTGGTGGAGGGGGACAGGGGCAGTAGGGCGTTGAATGAAGCCGTCGACAGTCAGAACAGGGCCATTATGTACTGGCTGGTGAGGCAGCAGGGAGTGAGGGCTGATAGTGACGCACTCTGTTTTGCTGCCCGGGATGTTGATGTCATGTCGTTCCTGGTGCATGAGGCAGGAGCTGACGTAGATGACGATGGGGGGTGGCAGCCGCCCCTTCTCGCCTTTGTGTGGGAAGATCACCACACTGCTGCGCAGCATCTCATCCAACTGGGGGCATCGGTAGACATAGCACTCACCCACTTTCGCCCCACAGCCAGAGATAAGCACCGCATTTTGTCGGTGTACCACGACTATCTGAGTCGCTCTGTTACCACTCACGCCATGCGCTTCATCAACACGTCCCTCGCCCGCCTGCGCACTCTGTCTGCCCTGTCGGCTTCCCACTCTGTGTTCGGTGTGGGTGTGTTGTGCTGTCAGATTGCCTCGTACATAGAGCCCCCATCTCTGCCCTTCTCTGATCGCACGCCACTCGGGCGGCGGCTCAATGCGGCACTGTCTTTCTTCATCTCGCGTGTCTGCAATGTGGCCAGCCCCTCTGTGCGGCGCCGTTTGTTTCAGCGCACTGCGTTCGTCACGCCACACATCACACACACCGACACGTCAGACAGCCAGGGAGGGGGAGAGGGCGGGCAGGTAGACGAGGGCATAGTCTATGGCCTCCGTGAGGTCATCCACCTGATTCGATGTGAGGAGGCGCAGCGCTATGAGCTGCCTGACATCGACAGGGGATTCGGCAAGAGCAAGCCATTCGAGAGCTCGTTCGATGGCCGTGTGGTGGTGCAAGGGGCGGGGGGAGGCCAGTGTGTGGTGCAGACGATAGAATGGTGGGAGGCCATGGGTGGGAGGGGGCCCCCCGGTGCGCTGTGGGGTGAGGAGCCATTGGATGATGATGATGATAGCTCGAGCGACGACGACCTAGACGAGGTCAGTGAGGGAGGGACACACAGTCACATGCATGTGACGATTCACTGTTGTGTGTGTGTGCAGGACGGTGTTGAGGACGGCGGGGACGGCGAGGATCCAGATGAGGTGGAAGGAGGCACACGCGCGCACACATGCCATGTCACCCATTTCCACTCCTCAATGTGTTGGGTACGTGTGAAGGGTTCCGTGGCCGAGGATGGCATGGACGGCGACTCGGGAGAGGAGGAGGATGGCGATATGATCGACGACGATGACGACGAGCAGCAGCAACAGCACGTGGAGGACGACCAGTGAGTTGAGGGGGGAGGGGAGGGGAGGGGTGGATGGGGGCTCTCTGCATGAGTACACACATGGCTGTCTGTCTGTCTGGCTGGCTGGCAGGAGTGTCGATGAGATGGACGAGGAGGACAGCAGCAGCAACCATCTCACATAGAGCTAGGTACGCAAGGCGACTCGCAGACCACCGCCTCTCTGCTGCTGCTCACGGCTGTGTTTGGTTGTCTGTGTGGTTCAGATCACACACACATAGTGGCTGCTGGCTGCAGCAGGAGGGCGGCTCTTGTGTAGATGATGTCAATATCTGTGCGCTGGCTGGATGGCTGGATGGCCCCATGGTACACATTCAATGTGTCTGTGTCTGTGTGCGCATGTGTGAGACCATCTGTGTGTGTGAGTGGAGTGGTGTCCGTCTTCATGCGTTCGTTCATTGTGTGGTTCATTCAACCCATGTGTACAGCCTAGAGCTTGGCGGCAAGAAATCTCCTTCACCCACTCACTCATCCACCCGCCCTTGTCCATTTCAACCACACACGCTCGACAGACAGACTACGCAGAAACCAACAGATAGAGTCCACCCAAAGGATGGACTCACTGACTGACTATCGGTGCTGCTCAATTGCGTGTGAATGGCGGTTTGGCTGCTGGTATGCTTCCATCTGAGTGAGAGACAGACCGACGCACAGGCAGGCAGCACCGACAGCTACTGTCATCTGTACAAAGCGCGTGTCGATCCAACGCATGAATCCAGCACCCGTGCCACCGTCCCCCTCCCTCCTTCCCTCACTCACGCCAACTTGTATGCCTCCAGCTCACTAATGTCGAAGTGCCATCCCTTCACAGACACAGGCAGGAGCACTGCGTCAGTGTCACCGCCGTAGTCGCTGAGCCTCACACTCGGCCGATGCCACTGCCGCCACTCGTCGGCCTGCTCTTCTTCCAGCACGACTCCCTGGCATCGTTTCATGATCTCATCGCTGGCTGCTGCTGGTGCGCCGATCTGTCCCATCTGGGCGGCCGGACGGACGCCGAAGTAGAAAGATGCAGCGGCGAGGACGGCCGTCGCGTAGGAGGCGGGTGAAATGAAGTCGATGAGGGGAGTGACTCTGTCCTGCACACATGGATAAAGAGGAGACCATCACCATGACTGCCTGGCTCATTCAGGTAGGCACCCACCTGTGTGCCCGCGATTGACATCTTGTTGTTCCAGCCGATGTAGCCCACGTGTGGGTGGCTGTCTGTCCCCTGCAGCTTGAAGGCGTACGATTTCGTGTCGCTGCGGCTCTTGGCCGTCCCCGTGACCTCGATAGGCCCCTCGATGATGATGGCGAAGAGCTCATTGCTGTCGGCCACCTTCGAGATGAGCAGCAGGGGGGAGCGGCCGTTGACGGCCTCGAAGAAATCCAACCACTTCCACCCATCCACAGTCGCCCTGACATGGGATGCACATCAAGACACACGGGCATGACGAGAAACTGCCGGCATGCTCACATCTGTCTGGCCTGCCCTTCTCACTTGTATATGCGCATCACCGGGTCGCCCACACACGAGGGGATGTGTGCGGGGGCGTCCTCCTCGCCCTCACACCACTGCCGCATCTTGTGCAGGTGCTCGGTGGTCAGCAGGCCGTCAGCGGGCCCCAAATAGCGATCGCTATCCAAACCGTACCTGACACAAACCAACACACAGACAGAGAACAGCCGTCGGGGCATTGTGTGGTGAGCAGCTCTGTGTGTTCTCGTCGCTGTTACATGGTGAGTGCGTGTCGGTATCCGTTGATGGCCAGGTCACCCATCGCCCCCCGCACGTCAGCCGCTGTGATGGCTGCCCCTTTCATGTGGGCACGAGATACGACATCGACAATGCGCCGGACATGCTCGATGGGCGCACGAACCGTAGGGCCGTACCTGACACGACAGACAGACAGACAGACAGGGGATACAAGCGAGCTCTCAAAAGGCCCAAGTCTGTGCAGGCGAACTTGATGAATCTGTTGGCAAAGGTAGAGTCGTCGCCCAGCGATTTCGCTACGCCTGTCGTCACCGACACCGTGGACCCCGACACACTCGTCGACACCAATTGCTTAACAGGGCAACCACAACCAGAACGTGCAGTCAGTGCATCTCCTCTGATCCCCTTCCCTCACTGTGTCCGGCTCACCGTATCGTCTTCCACATTGCCCATCTTGAGTAGTGGCTTGATGGCATCCAGCCGCTGCTCATGTGCGGCCTTCTCCTCCAGCGCCTTCTTCGTCAGCCTGTGCAGCTCCGCCGTCAGCCTCAGCTGAGCCGCAAAGGGCTGCCCGGCATCCTGCTGCTGGTCCGTGGCTGGGTCGGCAGCGGGGAGAAGGCGTCGCCGCCCGGCCGCCGCTTGTGGAAGGGATCCCAAAGCAGCAACTCAACCCAATACCTGACGACACACATCATCGGCTGCATTTGACCGTCATGTGTGTGTGATGGGCCTGGTGCTCACGTGAATGGGGTGTCGTGTTGTTTGGACGGGGGGATTGCAATGTTGTCGACCTGCTCCTCCTCATACATAATCAGATTCATCACCAACCTGCAGCCCGCCAAACACACACACACAAACACACGCACACACGTGTGTGAGAGAGATGACATAATAAATCCATCACTAGGCCTTCCTCACCAGGTGAATGCAGGTGGGTAGATCTGCAGGAAGATGCGATCCTTCTCGTCACGGATGAACGCAGCGTCAAATTTGCCACCGAAGAGGGTGGCGAGCACCGAGTCCTTGACCGCACACAGAGTCGATCGCTGAACCCGCACCTGCTCGCCGCTCACATTCAACTCCAACACTTCCTTCATCAACTCATCCTGCACACCACAACACCACAACCAACACAAACACACGCGCGATGAATGCATGTCCTCGACTGCCTTTCCGCTTTCTGGTCCATCTGGCTCACCACTGGTTTGTTTGGCGCTGCAGCAGACCCGCCCAAGGCTCTTTGGCGCTCCTCCAGATCCTCCAGCATGGCTTGCAGCGCGTTGGTGACGCTTCGGCTGTACTGGATGGACTGATGCAGCGCACCGAGGGAGGCGCTCTCACCAACAGCGCCATCAGGACACTTGCGTTTCTCGCCAGCTGCTGCAGCAGCCGCCGCTGATGCAGCCATCTTCTGAACAATGCTATCGCAGGAGAAATCACAATGCCAATGCATTCATCCTCTCCAAATGCTCCGCTCAAACTGTTTCACGCTCGGATTTGTTTCGCCCTTCTGCGATCTACCCTCTTTCCTGCTGCCGTCAGCTGCCTGGACGTCCTGATCTGCCCACTGGCCTGTCCCTTCGACGCCATGCCGCCCCTCCGCATTTTCTCTCTTTCGCTGTCAGGGCAGCGTGAACACCCCACACGACTTCAAGGTAGCTGAATGGTGCATGTGCACGGCAGAGAGCATCTGAACAAGGTGGCAGGTGTGCATGTGACCGGATTCTGTGCTGCTTAGGTGGTGCTGATCAGTGTCAAGGGTGTTGTGAGAGGAGCACAGCAGTGGCACGGCGGCAGTGGCAATGAGACCGCCACACGACGTCAGATGGCAAGGTGAGACACGGCGTGCAGGTCAGGTGTGTGAGCGTTCCGCTTTCACATGCATGTGCATGTGCGCGTTGTCAGATGATTGACTGGGAGCTACTCGTCCATTTATCCCGCCACGCAAGGTACACACGACACACAGCCGCAACGCAACACAGGACAATCCCATCCTGTCCTCTCTTTCACTTCCCCTCATGCAGGTTCGGCCGGACGAGGCAAGTAGGTCGCATACCAAACGACAGACAGTGGTGCTGTGCTGCCGGAGTTGGCAGGTACGTCAGGAAGCCAGATAGATGCACTCACTGGGCGTGGACGTGTTGTGTGGCTGTGTTGTGTGCGTCTGTCTCTTCAGGCAGGTGTTGTAGGCGAGCCCTGGGGACCACCCTGCCCTCCACCGAGATCTCCCTCGTCCACCTACTCACCCAAGGATCTGTTTCTCTGTCTAGCTTAGCTAGAGTGTTGTGGTTTTTGCGTACTTAGTGGTGCGTGGCATGGTGGGGCTGTCCTGTCGGGGGGGAGTGGCTGCCTGTCGCGTGTTTATACGAATTCTTTCGGCTGTTGTGCTGTCCCTCCGCTGTGTTGGTCTTCCGGGCGTGTGCTGCAGTGCTGCTGGGACAGTCCACACCGTCTCGACGGCAATGTGGTATGTGCCTGGCAGGTGACTGCAGCGGAGGGAAGCGAGAGGCGAGAGTGCGATCACGTCCCTGTAGGCTACGGCACATTCCTGTCGTCATCTGACGGGCGGGCACTGCACAGAGGGCGATACTTCATTGAGTTGGGTTGCCATCCGATTTTTGTGGTATGGCTTCGTTGCCCACAGATGACTTCCATCGGTGAGATAGCGTCTTCGTCATCAGTGGTGCATTTTGCTTGGGTTGCGTATGCCTTGTGCTGCGAGTCCCCCCCCGTGCCCTCATGTGGTCTCAGCTCGGTACGATTCATTGCTGTGCGGGCAAACGCATAGCGATGACACGTGCTGTGCGGCGGCCTGACATGGGGCATGAGGGTGGCGCCGTGCCACGGCAATCAGTGAACACCCCACCTCAATTTGTAGATTCGCTTCACGCAGACGTGGGTGGATGCATGTGTGAGCGCCAGGGCAGAAAAGCCGAGCGGTGTCTTTCTGCCTCTCTCGAGTGATGTGGGTGTGGATTATGTGTGTTTGCTGGCGCCTGTTGTGTCTGTCGTCATTGTATGGTGTCTGCTGCGCTTTTCCTCCGCTGTGTTGGCCTTCCATGCGCGTGCTGCAGTGCTGACGGGGCATCACACACCGTCTCGACGGCAATATAGCACGTGCATGACAGGCAACTGCAGCGGGGGAAAGAGAGAGACGAGTGCGACTACGTCACTGCCTTCGCTTTCCACACATTCCTATCGGTTGTTCGCTGGCTATTCTGTCTTCGTCAGCAGTGGTACACTAGCTTGAGTCGCGTGTGTATGCTGCTGTGCGTGACCCCTCATGCCCTTATGTCATCAGCCCTGGGTGTACGTCTCATTGCTGTGCGGGCAAAGGCGCTGCAATGGCACGTGCTCTGCAGCGGCCTGACATGGGGCGTGAGGACGGCAAAACGCCGCCTCACATCTTTTCGTAACTCTTCGCTTTCAGTCAGAGCGGTCTTTTCTGCAGAGTGGTGTGGGTGTGCTTCATGTGTGTCTGCTGGTGCCTTTCGTGTGTCTGTCGGTCATTGCATGGTGGCTGTCTGTCTGTCTGTCTGTCTGCTCTGTGCTGTCCCTCCGCTGTGTTGGCCTGGCTGGCGCGTGCTGCAGTGCTGACGGGACACCATACACCGTCTCAACGGCAATGAAGTGCGTGCGTGGCAGGCCAATGCAGTGGAAGGAAGCGAGAGACGAGTGCTGGAAGCCAGCTCATCATCAGCGCTTTCTCGAGAGCAGTCAGGTCTCTCTCTGTATCCTGTGGCCACACGCATCAGTCCGTCCGTGTTGTGTGGGGGTTTGGCGGTTCGTGGGCATGGTTGTCGGACTGTTTTCCGCGTGTGTGTGGCGTTGGTGGGATGCGACCACTTTTGTAGTCATGTCTGGCTGGCCGGCTGAGTCGACAGAACCAGCCACCCACTCACACAGACAGAGCCAGCCATGCACTCCATCAGGGAGGGATTTCACACACTTGTGGATTGGTGTGCTGTTGACTGGGTGGGGTGGGTGCATCAATCAGTGGTGCTAGGCTGTACTGTGTATCCTTTGTGGTGTGCGTGATCCACATCATGCCCCCATGTCAGGCCTGGTTGGAACGCTTCATCGCTGTGCAGTCATTTGCACGGCTGTGACACGTGCCCGTCAGGGAAAGGACATGGGGCATGAGGATGGCACCGTACCACGGCCGACATGAGCGGCAAACAATGGCCGGCCCGGCCTCTATTCCTCACTGTCGTGGGTTTTGCATCACAAAACGTTCCGTCCATCAGACGAGTTTTGTAGTGATGGTTTGCGTGCTACGGAGTGAGGGAGGGAGGGACACGTCTGCCCCCCATCCGCCGGTGTAGTGCTGCGTGTGCATTATTCCTGCACTGCCTGAGATCGGACGGATCAGCTCAGTGTCTCTGTCTCTGTCTCTGGCGCATTCGAGCATCTCAAGTCTGTCTGAGCACGTGAACCCTTCGGATCTCCGATTGTTCTTTACAGCAATGATTGCAATGCCTGTCGCCTGATAGTCGCCTGATAGTCGAGCGACTAGATGAGGCATACGCAGATGAATTCGAATGGCTGGCAGTGTGTGCCGGCACAGTGAGTGCGTTGTGAGGAAGACCAATTTGTGACGAATGAAGTCAGTCGGTCGATGTGTCTCCTCTGGCTCACAGCTAACGACGACAAAGGCCTAACTAACGACACCACTCTCTGCATTAACCACCCCCACCCGCCTAGGCCTTGCTTGCCGACACGACGCACCAACCCACTCACTCCAAACGCACAAACATTCTCACACTCACATAGAGACGGGACACGTCCATCAGTCCAAGTGTTAGGGTTTCTTGGCCATACACATTTTTTCTCAGCGCGCCACGCCACTCTCTGTGTTCAGACGGGCTGCTAGAAGGTGTAATGACAGACACTTCATCGTCTCTGTCACGATGCCTTCGAGCAGTACCGCTAAACACAAACAGCGGGCTGGCTGCACACAGCACACACCTTGGGGAAAGGCCCCCGGTCGATTGGTCGGTCAGTCAGTCCAGTGGCAGCCCAGGGTGCGCCACATACATCTTGTGCTCCGACAGGTACTTGGGCAGCTCCGACCTCGTCAGCCACGCGTAGTCGGCCACGGGGCCGTCGCGGGGCGGCTGCACGTTGGGCGTCCCGGGCACGTGATAGCCGCGGTAGTAAAACACCTGCACACCACGCCACACACGCACACACGCAATGAGGGGCAATGTTGTGTGAATGTCATGTCATGAATATGGGTGTTTGTCATTGTATATGTACCTTCCTGCCCAAGATGCCCAGCTGGCCGTGACCGTAGTGGAGCTTGTCGTGTGTGAAGGGGCACCTGCCCACGTAGCAGGGGCTGAACCCTTCACCCAGCTGCTCCGCGCACAGACGACGCAACGTCTGACAGAGAGAGGGAGAGGGATGAACCAACACACATAACATACACGTGGAGAGAGGGCAGCGAACAATGTGACCCTCTCTGTGACTCACTCCCTCACATACATACATCTCTCATGGTGTCGTTTGGCCGTCTGTCGGTGAGAGGGAACATCCACTTGCTGCCATACTTGACCACCAGATACACGTGCCGCAGCCCTTCCCTCTCAAGCGACCGCACCGTCGCCCTCGCCAGCTCACGGGCACGTGCCGCCTCGTCAGCCGAGGCGTCCAATGCCTTGGTCTTGGCCTTCCTCTTGCGGGGCGCCTGGGCGCTGAGCGACAGGCCTTCCTGCGGTCATTCAGACAACGGGGGTCGTCCACTCTGCCTCGATGATGCCTGCCTGACTGCCTGCAGGTGCGTGTGGGGTGGCGGTGTTAGTTACTTGCCTGTGAGAGCAGGTACTCGAGCTCTGACATGGTCTCGTCGCCAGTCTTCTCCACCAGGACCCGCCGCTTCCTCTGCTCCTCCTCGGTCAGCAGGAACTGAAAGGGGTAGCTCATGAACGTCACCTCGTCCGGCACGGACATCTTGGTGCCTGATGTCACACAACACACACAACACACAGATGAGCGCACAGACAAACAAAGGCTCGGTCCGCCCGCTGACTCACCGGTGCGTTCCTCCCACTCTTCTCGAAATTCCCTCCACTCTTTGCAGTACTTGGGCTCTGAGTACTCGATGGGCAGCCGGTCAACGCACAGGGACGCCTGGATCTTGTAGCCCTTGTGCACAGATATCGCCGGCGGAGCAGCCGCTTCAGCTGCCACAGGTGGGCCCTCAGCACTGGCTGCCATTGCTGCAGACGCGAATCTGCGGCTCCTGCGAATGGTTGGCGGGCGGCTGGGGATGGGAAGGGACGGCACACGAGCGAGAGATGACGGGAATCTGGACGAAATGGCCATGGCGCATCAAATGCCTTGAAGATCCATCACGCAGAAGAACAGACGGACGGGAAAGAGCCCTTCTGAGTTCGCGATTCTGGGAGAGAGCGGTTTCACGCAATGTCCTAAGCGGCCTGACGGCCTGGGGGAGGTTTGTGAGCTTCCCGACGCGAGCTGCGCAATTTTCCAGTGTTTGTGTTTAGCGTTATCACACGGCCGTGTCGCATCGCTTTCGCCCGGCAGTGTTGGATTTTGCCATTCTTCCATCCATCCAGGGGGTACAGATCTCTGGCGCCCATGATTGATGACGAGGCTCCTGTGGGCAACTTCTCGATGAGCGGCGATGCGGCCGTGCAGAACACCACCGAAGATGCCGCCAGCAGCAAACTGTGAGAGGGAGGATCAGAGGGAGAGCAGTTAACTGGACGCACTCGTCGAAACGGAATGATGACTGACGTCCGCCCCTTTGTTCTCTCTCACCGTGTGTGTGTGTGTGTGTGTTGACGTGTTTGTCGGCTGCAGATCTGCCGTCCGCATGGGATACTTCCGGGATGATTATCTGGAGCACTTTGTCCGGCGCGTTACCCGGAGGTCCCCACTCATCAACAGGGGCTACTATGCTCGAGTGGCGGGCATTCGCAAGGCCATCGACGGCTTCCTCAGCTGCATACCACAGGCACGACACGCGGGCAACGACATGCAGATGGACAGGCAGACATTGACTGCGGGTGTGTGTGTGCAGGGCACCACTGCACAGATCGTCAATCTTGGTGGGCAGTGTGTTTGTGTTGACCATCAGAGTGTTGTCGTCACGGCTGCGATGGTCTCCTGTGTGTCTGCAGGCTCTGGGATGGACACGACCTTCTTCTACGTCAACGTAAGTGAAAAATGAGAAGGAATGGGACCCCTGCACCGTGCGCCGATCAGCCGTTTGTGTGTGTGTGTGGACATCAGGACAAGCCCCAGTCAGTGGTGTGTTTCGAGTGTGACTTCCCAGAGGTCATTCAGAGGAAGGCCCACACCATACTGAGGCAAGCACACTTCTTCACACACACACACACACACATGATGCGGCGCACGCCCTCGGATGTGTTGGCTGTGTCAGGAAGGAGCCCTGTTGGAAGGCCATGGCGCGCAACCGTGAAGACATTGTGCAGGTCCCTGGCGGTGCGCTGCGGTCTGAGCCTCTGCGGATGGTGGCGGCCGATATGCGGCAAGTCGACGAGTTTGAGAGGCAGCTCGTGCAGGCTGGATTCCAGGACGAGTGAGTGAGTCGGTCAACAGGCAGGCAGCACACCGCATCCTTGCTGGCTGACACCATTAGACGCACCGCACCCGCCCTGTTTGTCTGTGTTGGATGTTGTGTCTGAGCAGTTTGCCGACACTGTGGTTGGCCGAGTGTGTGCTCGTGTACATGCAGCCCCTGCACTCAGATGCGGTCGGTGCCCAACCCACCAAGGGAAGGGGGCGCAATAGCTCAGTGAAGCACCATCGATGGTGCTGCAGCTCCACGTGATCATTCCTCTCTCTGGTCAGATCATCCGTTGGGCGGCGAATGCGGTATCTAAGGCTCCCAGCGCCTTCGTCGTCTACGAGCAGGTTAGTCAGTCCATGTGACGTGGCGCTATTCGCCTTATTCACGTGTTTGGCATCTCGTTCGTGTGCAGATCCTGCCTCACGATGCATTTGGCCGCACGATGGTCCGAAATCTCCAGGTAGCGGGCGAATGAGGAAGGCACCAAACCACAGCTTGCCTCTGCTGGTGTGATGGACGGGATGGATGGGTACGTGGCATCGATCAGGCCAGGGGGTGTCCGCTGCTCGGCATCCACGAGTACCCAACACTCGACTCGCAAAGGCAGAGGTGAGGCCACACACACACACACGCACACACACGCGCGCACGGCGGCAGAAAAGACATACAGACCGACAAACTCAGCGCAACGCAACCAACGTGGTTTGTGTTGGTTGTGTGTGTGTGTAGGTATGTGAGTTTGGGGTTCACTCGGTGTGAGGCGGCCGACATGAATGACGTGTACGACCTGCACCTGGACGGTGCCGAGATCGCCCGCATCCAGCGGCTCGAAATATTCGACGAACTCGAGGAGTGGAGACTCATACAGGTGCGGTGTGTGCGTCAGTCAGCGCACAGCAAGCACACAGCAGGCATCCACCCATGACATGACGCTGGTTCTGTTCTGTTGTGTTTGCAGGGTCATTACTTCATCGGCGTTGCCTTGAAGGGCTCCCACGACGAGCAGCACCGCGGGTCCCTCTCCTACCTGGAGCCACTCACCCAGATCTGGTCCACCCCCCGCCCATCCGACACCGAGATGCGCTTCAGGTCCTTCGGAAGCCTCCCACCGCGGCCAGCGCCGCCGCCCTCCATCAACGGCATCGTCCCCCCGGGCGGCTTCCTGCCGCCGTCCTTCGGCGGGCCTGTCCCCATCCCAGCCGACCCGCCCAGGTTTGTGCCGAGTGGGGGGATGGTCAATGGCGGGGGCGGGCACGTGATGGCCAATCATGTGCCGCCTGCCAGTGGCGGTGGTGGTGGTGGTCGCATGATGGGTATGGCACATCTGCCTGAGGTGCCTGTGTTCCGGGAGGAGGATGAGGCGGAGGAGGGCAGCGAGGGGCAGGGCATGAGGGACTGAATGATGCATGCAAGGCTGGACTGATGCATCGCATGAATGAATGATCAGCGATGGGGGCTGAGCCATCGTTTCTGTTGTGGGGGCCAGTCTCAATTAAGTTGCCCATTCGATATCGGGAATCTCACGCCAAGAGAGACAAAATCAGCCGCTGTTGCTCAGAGTCTTGTCAGCGGGCAGAGATTCCGCAGCAATTGCGCTGTGACCATGAAGGTGTCGAATTGGAGGGGGTTCTCCACCCACGGCCGCCTGGCTTTGCAGGCCAAGGATGCGGCAATCCAGCAGACCATCGCGGGGATGAGCGAGCAGGTCCAGGAGCTCTCACTCAAACACGTAAGATTCGCAGTGCCACCAACACTGCAATTAGTGCAGCGACCACCCCGAGATCTGGCAGCACGTCGATGAATGGAGACGGCTTCCCTTGTGTGTGTCCTTTGCAGAGGGCGATGGACGCCGAGTTGAAGCACCAGTCCAACAACTTCGAACGGTTTCAGTAAGTCGCAGACACTGACAGACAACTCACAGGACACCTCATTGGCCCTCCTCTCTCCTCTCTCTGTCAGGATTGACACGCAGCGTGAGCATCTGTTTCTGCGTCAGCTCGGCGAGACATTCAACGACCGTCTGCGCGAGCAGGAGGCAGAAGCGTACAGTACACCAACACACCCCCACCAGAACACACCACAACACGACAGACACACCATCGTGGATGTCCTATGCACGTGTACTGCAGGCGGGGAGTGAAAGAGGAGGATGTGTTGGCTCTGATCGACCATGAGCTGCAGGAGGCACTGGGCGAGGCCAATCGACAGCACAAGCGGCTCAGAGACGCAGGTGACTCTGCTGAGAAATGCCCAGAAGGACCTCGTGGAAGCCAACAGGTGGGGAGACACACCAAGATCCGCGTGGCCTTCCATCCATCCATTGGTCTCTCCACCTGTGTGTGCATGTCAGTCGGATGTGCGCGGCCAATCTGCACATTGTGGAGGAGAACAAGCTGCTCCGTGAGATGCTCACGGCGTTCGACGACAGGCTGCGGGCAGTCGAGGGGAACGAGGACGGCAGTGACAGCAAGGCCATCAACAGGTCTGCACACACGCATCCCCGTCCCCTGGTGTGCAGGCATCCCATCCATCTTTCCACTGGTGTGTCCCCAGAGACATTGATTCGACCACGCCACAGCGCCGCACACACTTGTCTACGGAGGGGGGCGAATCCACGGTGGGTGTGTGTGGAGGAGTCGACTTGATACAGACAAAGAGGGAGGCTGTGTGTGCCTCAATCCTCTATCTGCAGCAAGCACCAGAGGGAGACAACGACACACAAGACGGCCCTGCGGCCGCTGCCGCTGCAGCCGCCACCCCATGGATTCAGACAGACCAAGGGGAGAGTGCGGTTGAGGACAAATGCTCCAAAGCCATCGAGGAGATGCGGTGAGCATTGCAGGCCACGACCACCAGGCGCGCCTCTGTTGATCGACCCGTCCGTCATGTGTGCGGGTGTAAGGTGGAGGCCAAGGTGAGCGAGATGGAGGAGACGGTGAAAGAGTACGTCAGAAAGACAGACGACAAACTCAGGACCATCACCGCCGAGCAGTTCAAGTATGCAACGCGTACACACCAGCAAACAAGGGCGGACACACGGAGGTGTTGTTTGTGTTTGTCTCCCCAACCTCTGTGTCTGCCCTGCCTGCAGGCATTTGGAGCGTAAGTTGACGGACAAGTACCGTTCTATGGTGGACAAGATGCAGATCGAGTGGATCAACATGACCGAGTGAGCACAGCCCAGCACATGACGAGGGAGGGTTTTCTCTGAACATCTTCTTTCTCGCCCACACAGGTACCTGAATGGTGCCATGGCCAGCCTCAAGACACAGGTCGACTCCCTCAAGTCCAACGTCACCGAACTACACACACACGAGTACAGAACAGCCCACACAACACAAACCTCACCTCCCCCGCAGATAGCCCACATGTCTTAAGACCCATATCTTGGTGTGTTGTCTCAGTATTTTGGGCACGGTGGACGAGCTGCGCCGCAAAGTGGACTCGTTCCAATCGGCACTGTCCAATGACTTCACGTACCAAGGGAGAGGGAAGGGGAAAGAGGAACACTCGCTGCATGCTTCTACAATCGTCTGGCGGTCCGTTCAGGGGCTCGTTGCTCACCGAGATGGAGTCTCTTCCCACAGACACCAATCCAGCAGCAGCAGCGATGGGGGATGACGACATCGATGACCTGTACATCCTCGCATCGCAGTTCGATGAAGTGCAAATCGCCTTGTCAGTAAGACACGACACCGCCCAGAGCTGACGGCTATCCGGATGTGGGTGTGGCTGCCCTTGCCTCGATATGTAACAGCTGGAACCAATCTCGCGACACGTTGAAGAAGCTAGAGCTGATCAGGAAGGGGCTCAAGACGGCGCACAGGAGGGGCAAGTAGGTGTTTGTCTGTGGGCGAGGGAGGGAGGGAGGGAGGGAGAGAGAGGCGCACAAAATGACGCCGTGCTCGCTCTCCCTCGCTTGTGTTGTGTGTGTGCAGTCGGACGTTGGTGGAGCATCATCGGGACGACCGTGCTGGCGGCAGCAGCCAGGGCCAGGCGGACGTATCCTTCCTCGCAGGCATCAAACACAAAATGATGACCGGGTATGTCGACTGAGTGGGAGAGGGAGACACCACTTTGTCTGCGTCATTGGTGGTTGGTCCGGCAGGCTGTTCGCCCAGCCCCGCTCCGAGGCGCCGTCAACACCGCCCCACACCTCACCAAGAGAAGGCCGACGACCTGACTTCGTAACGAAGGCCCCCCCTTACCCACACGTACAAGCACACGCGCACACTTTCTGTCTCTGTATCTTTCAGGTGCCGTCAATTCGTGACTTCCATCGTGCCACCTGTGCGTCTGCCTCATCCACCCCGGTGCGTGTGACGACCAAGCCTCCCCTGGCCCACCATCGCACCCTCCACCCCCACCGCCGCCCGCTCCGTCAGGCATTGGCGGCCTCTTCTCGTGTGCAGCAGGACGACGTACGTCAGATGCACACAGATGAGGGAGGGGTGGGTGGGTGGGATGTCTGAGGTGTGTCAGTGTCTGTGTGTGTGTGCAGATCAGAATACACACGTGTGGTGGAGGGCGGCGGGCGGACGGAAGAGCGCACGAGGAAGTGACAACACGCGTGTGTGTGTGTCTCATGGTGGGTTGGCTGCCTGCTGCTGCACTTGAGAGTGTCAGTCAGTGTGGTTTGAGACTCTACTGCGTGTGTGTATCCGGACATCCATCCATCCATCCAGGCAGGCAGGCAGGCAGGCACGTTGATGGATGCACGTTGGCTCACTCACACACTGTCTGTCTGTCTGTCTGTCCATCCGGCTCTTAAACCCTCGGCAGTGACTCTCCCTCCACACACACGCATACACCACCGCAGGCACTGCAATGCAATGCTCACTCAGGTCACGACGACGCAGAAACGCATTCAGAATCTCGCTTCTCCCTCTCCAACCATCACATCAACACACACGTGACACGTGCGCACTTCACCTCATCCGCCAGCCCAGCCAACACCACACCATAAGCTAGGTGGCGATAAAATAAAACGTGAAGCGTGGGCACACTCGCTCATTGTAATCGTTGGTTGCACTCTTCTGGATGAATGAGACCGACAGACAGATTAGAGAGAGGGCCTCGCCCCCACACCGACAGACACCATCGTCACAATCCGAAAAAGCGTTTGCCCCTCCCACCCTCTTCGCGCGACCCTGATGACGGCCGCAGCCTGTCCAGCTCCTCAATCAACTCACGCTCACGACCGGACACACTCGTGGGGATCTCCACCTAACAACACACACACGGAGATGACATCCATCCATCCATCCACCAGAGGGTAGACAAAGACGGACAGACGGCGTGCCGTGCCGACCTTGACGGTGGTGAAATGGTCTCCGCGAAAGTCGGGGATGCCGACCTTTGGCGCGCCCTTGCCGGGGACCTTGATGGTGGTGCCGGGCTGTGTGCCGGGTGGGATCCTGACGGGCTCGGTGCCGTCGATGACCTCCACATCGACCGTCTTGCCCAGGATGGCGTCGGTGTACGAGATGGTGGTCTCAGAAAAGATGGACGTCCCCTTGCGCGTGAAGCGGGAGTCCGGACGCACCTTGACAAACACAAACCTGATGGGTGGGCCGGACACACACACGAGTGGATGGATGGATGGCATGGTTTGCTTACAGGTCTCCCGCTTCGCCCCCGTTCATGCCGGCGTCGCCCTCCCCCTTGATGCGCAGCTTCATGCCCTCCTCCACACCAGCCGGCACAGCCACCTGACGGGGGGGTGGATCAGATCAGCGTGCATATATACATCTGTCTGTCTGTGTGTCGCTCGGTATCTATCGTGTGTATTGTATGTGTCCGCTCAGCTCGCTCACGTCAATCTGTTTGGTCCTCTGCACGAGGCCCTGTCCGTTGCACGCAGGGCAAGGGTCCGCGAGGATCTCGCCCACACCGCCACAAGTGGGACACGTCGATCCGGTAGATATGTACCCAACGGGGGTCCGCTGCTCCTGCACACACAACACGCGCCGCGCCGCACACCCCACACACAACAGAAGACAGACAGACAGACAAGTCCCCTCCGCCCCGGGCATTTGTCGTCTGACCTGGAAGACCATGCCCTGTCCGTTGCAGGTGGGGCATACGACAGGTTTGGTGCCGGGCGCGGCGCCGGTCCCCATGCAGACCTCACACGTCTCCACGTGCTTGAGCCGCACCTTCTCCGTCCCACCAAACACGGCAGTGGCGAAGTCAACCTCCAGCTCCACCTTCAAATCACTGCCGCGACGCGCTGCCCGACGACGCCGACCTGACAACACAACACACATTGATGATGCGATGCGCATCTCTGCGTGGTGGGGCTTTGCCTCGCTAAGCTAACCGCCGGCCATGCCGCCGCCAAAGAATGTGTCGAATATGTCGTTGAATCCGATCTCCTGCCATCCGCCGGTCGGCTGTCCGGCCATCTGCTGCTGCTGCTGTTGCTGCTGCTGCTCGGCGGAGGGTGGTGCCTGGCCGGTGCGGTCGTAGACCTCTCGCCTGGCGTCGTCAGCGAGGACCTCGTAGGCCTCGTTGAGCTCCATCATGACGTACTTGTCGCCGCCGAAGTCGGGGTGAAACTCGCGCAGCAGATCCTTGTACCTGACACACATCACATGGACACACAAACCTACAGATGGTTCCACACGCGACACAGGCGGACGGCATGGCGCACGCACCGTTTGGTGATTTCTTTCTTGGATGCCCCCCTGTCGACCCCGAGGATCTTGTAGTAGTCCTTGGTCACCGAGTCCGTGGTCACCGTCTGCACGTCCTCATCGTCAGCCATCAACAGCCGAGTCCTCAACAGATCAGAAGGCCGCCTCGCCGGGTGCAGATGCTGCCGCATCCTCTCCAATCGCCGCGCAGGCGTCGTCATGCTGCCCGTAAATGGCCGCAGAAAGGCTCCCCTGTCGATGCAGTGGGCTAACTGAGCGGTGGTAGCGAGCACGACAGCCACAAACACGGCAGAAAGGGGCAAGACAGACCGCGACGCGATTGTCTGTCGTCGGTGAGGGCATGCTGCACGAGATGATGGCGCACATGGGGCGTCGGCGTCTTGTGCATCGGCTCGTGGACAGATCGGCTCCCGTGCCGTCCCTGAGGCTGCTGAGTGGGAGATGGCTGCTGATCTCGGATGTGCCATGGAATGAATGCGCACAAGGCGGATCTTCAACAGGTGACGAGCAGTGTTCTCCTCTGCGCGTGTTGCTCTCCCCGTTTGGCCTCCTTCCTGTCGCTGAAGCGATTCTTAGCTCGCAGTTTGAGCTGCTGAGGAGGGGACAGAGCGGCAGAAGGGCACAAGCAAGAGGTCTATTTCCCCCCGCTTTTGACGACTACACTTGCCGCAGGCAGAGTGTTCGTCTGCGTCTGTCAATCAGCAGGCCGGCCATTGGTTTTGGTGGCAGATCAGCGCGTGTGCCAGTCGGTTCGGTCGTCGGTAGCTAGCGTGTGTCGGAGCGTGTGTGTGCGATGAGTGAGATAGAGGTGAAGTTTAAGGTGTCTCGGGGTGACGAGTTCTCGCTCACCCTCAAGACCGACATGACCATCCGCGACGTCAAGACGGCCGCCGAGGAGAAGTGCGGCTTCCCACCAGACCAACAGAGACTCATCTACAAGGGTAGGGTAGCCGATGGCGTCAGACCTGTGTGTATGCTGATCTCTCTCTCTCCCTCTGTGTGTGTGTGGTGGATCTCATCACTCAGGCCGGATTTTGAAGGATAATGATGTGTTGGCGGACCACAAAGTGGAGAGCGGACACACCATGCACCTGGTGAGTCAGTCAGTGCTCAGTGGGAGAGGGGAGGGGCAGGGGGGGGGGGGGGGGGG